TACAAATTCTTGAAAACAGGTTTTTCTTTTATTAATAGAGTGTGTCTTTAAGATCTGAGATCTGTCTGTAAAGAAGAAAACACGCTTTAGAAACAATCAAGTTAATTAAAAGTTAAAGAGAGAAAAAAAATCCCAGAAACCTCCTGAAATGCCATCCATCCATGAATACAGCCATTTTCAATTAACCTTTTTTGCCTTATGCGACTAAATTGTAAAATAATGAAGCAGTTTCCTTCCCTGTAACGCAATGGAGATGGCGGTCGCCGTACACGGCTTCCTTTTCACAGGCTGCTGCAGGAATCCGCGGCTGTATTATGTCACTCGAGGGCAGCTTTCACTATCACCTTTTACTTGGCGGTTCTGGGACATTAACCCAGTTTATGGACAATTTCATTATTAAGCTAATTTAATGAATCTGTTTTTACCTTGTAATTGGTTAACACGTAGTGTTTTACACAGGGGGGAGGGGGAAAAAAACAATGGCAGCTATTTCATATCCGCTAGTGAATGCAATTAGATGTAGGAAATTAGACTTAATTATTAGATGCTTTGATTGAACTTAGGATCTGGCAATAGAGGATGATCCTTGTCTGTGAGGATTCCCAAAGAGCGGAAAACAGCTTCACTTCTATATTTATAATTTCCTTTTTACAACATGCCATAGTCCCTTTCTAAGGAACCCAATATGGAGGTTGCTCCTGACTTCCCCCTTTGAAAATGCTTTTTGCCTGGCTGTCAATATTTTGTAAGCCACTAATCTGGAACAAGTATGCAGATCAGAAGTTCTAAGTTCACTTTGACTTTCCAATCTGCATATTTCTTTATTTTTTTTTTTTTTTTAAGTTTTGGATAGAGTTAGGGAGGTTTATAATCACAGTCCTGGTGACATCCAAACACAGCCCTGGTGATACCCAAAGGCAGCCCTGCTGGGACCTGCATGCAGTCCTTATGAGACGCAAACGCAGCCCTGATAAGACGCACATGTAGCCCTGGTGACACCCAAATGCAACCCCGGTGAAACCTGCGTGCAGCTTTGGTGAGACGTTGCACGCAGCCCTGATGAGATCTGCATGCAGCCTTGTGGAGACCAAAACACAGCGCTGGTGACGCCCAAACGCAGCCCTGGTGCGACCTGAATGCAGCCCTGGTGAGGCCTGCATGCAGCCCTAGTGAGACTGCACACAGCTCAGGTGAGTCGGTAGCCATTCTACAGTGCTGAATAATCATGGATTGATTGGATCTGTAGTTCTCTATTGCTGGCTGTCATTCTCTATTGCTGAATAATCATGGATTGAGTTACAGTTCTTCATAATTATAAATAAACTGCCCAAAAATCATTAGTCTACATTGTTTTAGAAAAAATGTCACATATCCATTTAAAAAAAAGTATTGGTAATTGGTCCCTGAGGGAAAGTACTTGTTCTTGTATTTGGTCTTGAAAAAAATGGTATGGGTGCATCCCTACTATGTGCCATCTTTCTTCTATCTGAGTATGGTTCCACCTTTTTTGAAGCTGAGTGACAACATATCCATCAAAGCGATTCTTTTTGTGATCCCTGGAAGAAAGGGGAAGTGCATTCGACCATACTAATATATGTCAGTTGTGATCTGATTCATATAAGCCCTCACGGGCAGGGCCCTCCTTACCATCTTGTCTTGAATTGTATTGTGATTGTAATTCCTTATATTGTAAAGTGCTGTGCAAACTATTGGCGCTATATAAATCCTGAATAATAATAATAATATGGTGAGCAGGATCGAGTATATAACACAATGCTTTTATTCAAGAATCTTGCACTGGATGGTCTTCTAGCAGCACTATTGGTGATTATTTCAATGAATGAATAACACATGTTGGGCTGGAGATCACAAAGGACAATGTTAAAGGATTGTGAGACAACACAAGTGTATACTTTTTATTGTTTGAAATTCACAGACGAATATTCAAAGAGTTGTGCTATAACACTTTTGGATACTTTGTTACATGTATATATGTTTTGGTACATTGTATAGTTTCACAAAGTTTATGTTTACTGAGAGTGGAACAATATACTCAACACTGCTATTTGTTTTATTTATTCATATTATTCTAGCTACACTGGAAAATTCAGTTGTTTATAGTATTTGAGTCGCGTATAGCACAACATTCTTATAATTACATTTACTGTAAAGTGACACTAAATTCAGGAGTTAAATATTAAAAATGCATTCAAGTGCCTTAAAAGACAATTATGAGGTGAGTGCTTCTCACTCACCTCATAGTTCTAGCCAACCTGTGGCAATGAGACTGTCACAGGTCGGCTCAGTAGATCGGGAGGTGAGCGAACACATACCGGCGTTCGCTCACCTCTCGATCCTGTCACAGCTCTCTGCCGTGACAGGGGAGGGGCTGGATTCCCCCCTCCCCGCTCCGATCCGCCAGCGCTGACTGGCGTAGCGGACGGGGGAGGGGGCGAGTACAGCTGGCTCTGCCTCTAGATAGGCAGAGCCAGCTGTCACTCACGCAGCTGGGCGGATCTCGACATCGATGTCGGGATCCGCTCTGGCTGCGGCGTCTCAGTATACCGCGAGCTGTAGCTTGCGGTATACTGAGCTTAGGGTAACGGGAGGACGCTAGTTTGTGTCCTCCTGTTACCCTAAGGAGAACTATGATGAAAAGCCCTCACCCCATAGTTCTCCTTTAAAGGAGAACTATGACATGAGTGATTTATTATCAATCGGCTGTAGATCCTTAAATTATCTCTGAATTGGTGCTGACACTGTCCTTCCTTCTGGAGGGTGGCTACTTTTGTTCCCCATGGTCCCCCTTAAGGACTACAATCTCGTGTTTAGTTTATTAAGTAGTGTTGAGATTGTAGTCCATCATAGGAGTGAGCTTAGAGTGGTGACTACTTTACAACACTCTTTAGGGCTAGTTCACACCAGCCCCAGCGTGTTCTGGCCCGATTCGATGCCGGAGCGCACTGGGTCGCATTCCCAGCCAGCTCACTGTGTTCTGGGGCGGGAGGAGGCGTGGCGGTGCATTGAAGTCAATGGCACTGCAGCCACGCCCCCCGGCCGCAGTGCGATTGCCCGCACCGGAACGCGTGGCATATCAATGCTTGTGTTCCAGTCTGATCAGAAAAAAATAGTGCAACAATTTTTCTGATCACACCAGAACGCAGGCATTGACGTGCCACGTGTTTTCAGTGCGGTAGATTGCACTGTGGCTGGGGGGCGTGGCTGAGGTGCCATTGACTTTAATGCAGTGACCACGCCACCTCCCACCCCAGAATGCAGTGAGCCGGCCAGGATGCGATCCAGTGTGCTCCGGCACTGAATCGGGTCGGGGCGCACTGGGGCTAGTGTGAACTAGCTCTTAGTCCTAACTACTCTGTTATAAAAACAAGTTGAAAAGGAAGATTTCTTGATCAGCTTTATTTGTGAGTAGGATTTTTTTTTTTTCTGGTGAGGATATCCCTAAAAATAACACCACACACGGGAAATTAAACAAACAGGAATGTCAATACAGAAAACAATATGGAACCACATATACATTCTTATTCTCTGAAATACACTTTTTAAGGTAATACATTATCATGTTTCTATAGAGATCTACATAAGCCAGTCATCGCATACTTTCATTCTAAATCCGTTGGTAGCAATGCACTGGTTGTTGAAGTGAACAGTTGGCTGATTTGGAGTGTTATGCAATAAAGATTAATAGCAGCTTCATTGCAACAAGTGACCTCATTAGTGTCTTATAAATAGGAAGTGTGTATTGCTCCATAGCAACCAATCAAATTAAGAAATGCACTGCAAATGACTGAAAAAAAAATCTGATTTGATTGCTGTGGGGCAGTGCAGGCAATTATTTTTCCAAGAGACTTTGGTTAGAACAGAACATTTCAATGCTAGAAATAAAATTTAACTTAAGGATGTATTTTATGGGTTTAGGATGTATTTTGTTGTCCTTGGTTCAGAGTTGGGGTTATGGATTAAGGGTTAGTTTAGGGTTAAGTCAAGGATTATATTTACACTTGAAGCGACACTAAACTCAGTAGCTAAATCTTAAAAATGCATTCAAGGACCCCAACTATTAACACAAATGTATCTTATTTGTGTATCACTCGGCTGTAGATCCTCAAATCATCTCTGAATTGGTGCTGACACTGTCCTTCCTTCTGGAGGGGGGTTACTTTTTTCCCCATGGTACCTGTGTGTGTGTTGTAAAGTAGACACTGCTCCAAGCTCGCTCCCATGATGGATTACAATCTTGTGTTTAGGCTAAATTAACACTAGGCAACATCTGACCACGTGGCAATCGTGCACAATTCCACGCAGATCGCCGCGCGGTCAATAGTCGCCAAGGTGTGAACCGATCGCTCTGTGGGTGCCATTATTTTCAAATGGAACCCCAGTCGTGCTGGACGGATCACACAGTTTCCCGCCGCAATTCCGCCCATGCTTCCGAACACGATGGCGGCTTCACACCTCGGCGACTCCTGACCACGCGAAACTATAGAGATATGTTCCTTAAGCTTCATTATTCATGATGAGAGGAACAGCCATCCTTTCTTTGGATTTATGATCTGCCCCTTCTGATAAGTTACTGAGACAACAGGGAAAGGAGTTGTTCTGACAACAAAACATGATGGTTGTGAAGAGTTTTCTTTCACTGGTTCCTAGAGACAACCTAGAGTTTAGATATAAAACTGCATTAAAGTGACATTAAACCCTCAGATTTTTTTAACATAAACCAATACTGTAATGAAGATAATTTTTCTTTGTTTGCTGTGTGCTGCATTATAAAATGTTTTATTTGCTTAGGTGTATCTACAGGTGAAACTCGAATAATTAGAATATCGTGCAAAAGTAATTGCAGTAAGTGCTGCAAAAGGGGCCCAAACCAAGTACGGAGTACATCTGCATGGTTGTACTTTTCAGAGGTCTGATATTGTTCTATGTAACATTTTAATGAATTGACTTACATTGACTACCATTTCTTTTTGTGTACTTAGACCCCTGCCGTGCACACTGTGGAACTGACTGCAAATCCTATTGCTGTGATGGAAATCCTCCATACTGCTGTTCCTACTATGCCTACATCGGAAATGTGCTCTCGTAAGTTTAAATCCGTTTAAGCTGTTTTCTGTTATTTTTATTGAATTTTACAAGTCAAAATAGCAGTCACCTTAGTACAGGTTATATAACAAGGACTTTACTTGATATCACACATATCTAAACCATGACTGGAGTTGGGAAACTGCCCCATTGTCTGTTCAGTAGGTTTGCTCAGGATACTATCTGGTATGCAGAAAGCCAGAAGATGCATGAGTGTCTGTATCATTATTATTATTATACAGGATTTATATAGCGCCTATAACAGTTTGCACAGCACTTTACAATATAAGGAAGACATTACAATCACAATACTATTCAAGACAAGATGGTAAGGAGGGCCCTGACCCTGAGAGCTTACAATCTAAAAGGGAGGGGCAAGTGATACATGAGGAGGTAGCTGTGTGGGGATGAATTGTTTGAGAACGTGATGGTTGAGTGGTTAGTTTAAGGTGGGATAGGTTTCCCTGAAGAGATGAGCCTTAAGGGATCGCCTAAAGGCAGTCAGAATGAGAGATAATCGGACAGGTTGGGGTAAAGAGTTCCAGAGGATGGGAGAGTCTCTAGAGAGACATTTGCCCAGGAAAATTAACTATGCCCCCACGTGCAAAGGGTTCAGGTGCTCCCTCTTCCCTTCACTCCTCACTCTGTGTAGCCAAGAGTTGTAGCTCCAGCAAAAAAAAGAAGTCTCCATATTCTGGCAGTGCACAACAGCAAGTCAGTCACTTCATCCCGGCAGCTGGACATTTGGGTCACTTTTTGCATCTGATTGGCTGTTGCTGGCTGCCAGTTATAAACCAGAGAGAGTGCAGTGTGCACAGGCTAGATTTAGGGATGGAGAAAGGATCTCTTTAAGCACACAGCCTACATCCCTCAATGCAAATTGTACGGCCCTTAAAAAAAGGTTGCAAATGTTGAAAACTATCTTGATATTGCAAACCCTTAACCTCTTGCCGTCCGCCCGTAGTAAAAAAACGGACGGACGGCACTGCAGCATCTGCGGGTTGCCGTCTCCAGACGGCAATTTTTTTCTGCTCGCGCGCGCCCAAAGCCAAAACTTTTTTTTTAGTTCTGAATAGAGTAAGGGAGGGTTATAACTCCACCAGCTTTTTTGTCATTTGGGTCCCATTGGGGAGATTTCCCTTCCTGTTCCATAGCCACATTAGGAAGTGGTAGGGAATCCATCCAATGTAAAGGAAATCCCTGGTGGTGACAACCCCAAGTTTGGCATTTTCTTTCACTTTTAGTGATAACATTAACCAGGATAAATAGAGAGGGGTAATTTACCTAATGGGGACATTGACAGCAATAAAAACCTAAAGCAGAAATAGTAAGCACTCCTTAAATGTTACGTATTAAAAGCAAGGGTGTTAGTAGCATACACCGATCAGCCATATTATGTCGACTCTCCTAATATTGAGTAGGTCCCCCTTTTTCCACCAAAACAGCCCTGACCTGTCAAGACATGGACTCCACTAGACCTTTGAAGGTATGCTGTGGTATCTGGCACCAAGCCATCAGTAGCACATCCTTTCAGTCCTGTAAGTTGCAAGGTGGGGCCTCCATGGATCGGACTTGTTTTTGCAGCACATCCCACAGATGCTTGATTGGATTGAGATTGTAAGCCCTCAGGGGCAGGGCCCTCCTTACCATCTTGTCTTGAATTGTATTGTGATTGTAATGTCTGCCCTATATTGTAAAGCGCTGCACAAACTGTTGGCGCTATATAAATCCTGTATAATAATAATATAATAATAATAATAATTGGACTGGAGAAGCAAACACCTCAAACTTGTTGTTGTGTTCCTTAAACCATTCTTAAATAATTTTTGCAGTGTAGCAGGGCACATTTCCCTGCTGAAAGAGTCCACAGCCATCGGGGAATACCATTTTTATGAAGGGGTGGACTTGGTCAGCAACAATGTTTAGATAGGTAGTACATGTCAAAGTAACATCTGCATGAATGGCAGGCCCCAAAGTTTCCCAGCAGAACATTGCCCAAAGCACCACACTGCTTCTGCAGGCTTGCCTTCTTCCCACATGCATCCTGGTGTCATCTCTTTCCCAGGTAGGCAACACACACATGCACTCAGCCATCCACATGATGTAAATAAAAACATTACTAATCAGACCAGGCCACCTTCTTCCATTGCTCTGTGGTCCAGTTCTGATGCTCACATGCCCATTGTAGCCATTTTTGGTGGTGGACATAGGTCAGAATAGGCACCCTGACCAGTCTGTGGCTACACAGCCCCGTACACAAAAAACTGTGATGCACTGTGTGTTCAGGCACCTATCTGTCGGAACCAGCACTGACCTTTTCAGCAATTTAAGCTACAGTAGCTCTTCTATTGGACTACATGGGCCAGCCTTCGCTCACCTTGTGCATCAATGAGTCTTGGCTGCCCCTGACCCTGTCACTGGTTCAGCAGTTTTCTTTCCCTGAGCCACTTTTGGTAGGTCTGGACCACTGCAGACTGGGAACATCCAGGTGCCATTGTTATTCACTTCACTTGTCAGTGGCCATAATGTTATGGATGATTAGTCTATAATTGCAGCAAATGCTAAAGCTATATGGAACCCACACTGCCCCATCAAGGCCTCTCTGTATAGTGTAGTCCACAAACGAGCAAAGCTTGCAACCTAGGATCTGTACAGCAATACATAGATTAAAGGCATGAATGCCTGGAGATGACCAATTCCTTCTTACAATCAATAGCAATCAATACCTAGCTTTTTAGAGCATGGTACTTACATCTCTGCTTTTAATACTAGTGTTAAAGGAGTGCTGGCTATTTCTTCTTTGGCTTTATGCTGCGCCGCTGTTGGCCGCGCACCCTACTACACTGATTTTGGGCGACAGTGTGGGACAGCATGTTGAATGTTAGCAATAATACCTGAAACGTGCGCTAATCCCTCTCCACTGTAACCAAAACAAAAAGTTTTGTCTTCAATTGCACTTTAAGACTTTATCATTTTTGCTGCCTATTATTATTATTTATATGTACTGACCTTGGGTCATTAAACATCTGTAAGTATTAGCACCTGTGATCAGTTCTAAACAAGGCTGTAACGTTGAAAGATTCTCTGCCGAAGTGTTAAAATGTCAGAGCTGCACTTCCAGTGTTGACTATAGGAGACTCGAAGAGTAGATAGATGACATTATGCTGCCGCTATCCTTGATGTTCAGTGAACTTTACTTCAAGTAAAATATGCTATTAGCAGAGCGCAGGCTGAGCGGTGCTGGGGTTATCGTCAGAAAGCAGACATCCTGAGCTTGAGACGTTCAGGGGAATTCCCTATAGACTTCATTATTATGTGCACATCACAAGGCATGAAATCAGCCTGCAGTACAATGCCCAAATCCTCAAAACTGCACAAACGAACGTCGTTCCTGTCTATTTGTACAATTTCAGGCATCATTTCATTGTTTCTTCATGCAGACTCAAACTCAGGGGTGTCCAATAGGTGGCTGCCCATATGCAGTCTGTATAGACTAATAAGCCCAGACTGGCAGTTCTGGGATGTGACACAAGGACCGGCCTTTATGAGAGCACCTTGGGCCTATGTGAACTGTTTGAGCTGCTCAGTCATCATTACCCCAGTGTAAAGCTGTAGTTTAATCCGTTTATATGTTACCTTGCCTAGTTGCTCCTTTCCCCCACCTAATCAAAGTGGGAAGTGTTTTATAGTTTTAACAGACTTCTTATCCTAGGGTGACAACGCTGCTCCTCCATAGATACCCCAGAACAGGAAGTGTAATTTTAGTTGAAGAACAACAGGTGAAAAAAAAAAAGAGAAAAAAAGGTCTGAACAAATAAAACTAATGCAGCCACCACATCTAAGGACTGGTAGGCTGCAATATATTCCATTTTTTTCCCCTTGAGTTTAAATACATTTTAAAGTAGAACTATGAGGTGAGTGCTTTTCACTCATCCTCATAGTTCTAGCCGACCTGTGGCAATGAGACTGTCACAGGTCAGCTCAGTAGATCGGGAAAACCGTAGCTGGTGGTATACTGAGCATAGGGTGACGGGAGGACGCTAGTTTGTGTCCTCACGTTACCCTAAAGAGAACTATGGGGAAAAGCCCTAACCCCATAGTTCTCCTTTAAGGTTGGACTTACACAAGTGACACATGGTGACGCATGTTGCAGTCACTTCTTGTGTAGTCTGACAGAGTGGGGTTCTGGCTGTCAGAATAAAATAGCCGGCATGGGGAGATTCCTGCATCCACCCTGTTTAGGCTTTGTGTATGGCCAGTTTAAGACATGTTTGTAGTCCGGCCTGGGTGACAACCATGGCTCCCTCCATAGATACAGTGAAGTAAGTGAGCTTTGATACCCAGGACCCGGAAGTGGGTTATTTGCAGGATTTCCAAGTAAAAATAAAGGGAAAAGGTTTTAAAAAAAGAAAACTAATGCAGTCACCACATCTAAGGAAGGATTAGCTGCAATCTGTTCATTTTTGGATTCAGATAAGGAGTCTCTTATTAGCCCATCTCCCCAACTCACTTATAACAACCTTCCCAACACTCTACCACCACTTCACTGCTCCATAAGACACATTGGATGAGGTGCTCTCATATTGTCTCATTTGTCCATAGAACAGATTCAGTTTACACTTCCTCTCATGCTTTGATGTGCAGGCAGATCTACAGTGGGCCCAGAGAGGGGGATTAGTGTTGGAACCAGAGAACACACTTGTCTGCATTTTCATAGGCTCATATTTAAGAACATTGAGAAGATAAGTGATGGTGATTATAGGGAATAAGTGCACAGGATGAATGGCTTAATCAAAATCAAAGGCGGCAGATAGTAGCTGGGGTGAGTTATAGTCATTTTAATGTAGAACTAGAGTGTATCTTTAAAGCCTCAGATATTGGAAGATAAGATAAACAAGCCAACATTTTTGGGCCATGCAGGGTCCCTTTCTTGACAGTCACTGTTTTGCCTTGAGGAAGGGACTCTCTGTGCATACGAAATGTTATTGACATGTAATGTA